TGTAGTTACTTACTCAGGCTAATTTACCTCAGCGAGTTGTGTGACAAATGAACACTAATGAATGAACAGCATGTTGCCAGTCTGGTAATGTAATGGGTGCTATGTCTTCTCAAGAGCTCCAATCATTAGTCATTTTGCACTTGCAGCTGTTTACAAGCAGAGTTGAGGGTGAAAAACCTGGGTTAATAATAAGAGTTGTTAATCTGTATTCATTTACACATTCATTTAACAGAGACCAAACTGTGTTAATGATTTATTACTTACTGTGTGTAATGAGTATCTACATCAGTTCCTTCAGAAAAAGTTGTAATAAAGTAAAAAGTACATTAATATTATTAGCAAAATGTATTTTTAAAAACTGATAGTGCAGAACAATAGCTCTTGGTGAGTTTTGTACTTTTATATAGTATATTAGTGGATTATTATCACTGATGTGTTTAATATGTGAGTAGCATTTAGCTGTTATAATTAGACGCAGAGCTAATTTTAATCTCAAAACTTCTGTTGGGTAATTGGATGGATGGATGGATGGACTTTATTGATCCCAAATTGGGAATTTCTTGTGTTATAACAGTATAAAATAATTTAAAAAAACACAAACAAAACAATTAAAAATATATAGCTCAATATCCATAATAGAAGAGTGAACACAACAAATAACAAAACAAAATAAAAAAAAAAAAGCATAATATTTTAAAACATCATCATATGTTTTAATATGTAAAGTCTTCATTTTCAAATAGTGGAGTAAACACTACAATATTTCCCTGTGAACTGTAGTGAACTTTAAAATAGCATGAAATGGAAACACTCAGGCAAAGAACAACTATCTCAGATCTGTACTTAAGCACAGTACTTGTTGTGCAAGTAAATGTACTTGGTTACATTCCAACACTGGTTTTATTGATACTGAAAAATCAATAAAATTAAATAGAGGGGATATTTGGGGGCCAAATTTGCTGCTTAAATAAGGCAATCTTACTCCTTTTTATTTCCGTAGAATCTCTACAATTTGCTCTTAGTATAAACAACAGCTTTAATCTAATTTATAAAGCATATTCTTTTTAAAAAGGGGCTTCTTTGTGCCCATCTGGCTCTGAGCCCCTCTGCTGTGAATTCCATAGACGGCCCATTGAAGTGAGCTGATCCGAGCTCTGCGATAAAACTTGACCAAGTCAAAACAAAAACTCTGTGGATAACTGCAGCGATTGAAGCAGAGCTTTGAAGGCGCTCCCAGCTGCAGAGGAGAGTGACGCAGCCCTCCGAGCTTAAACAGAGCACAGTGAGGGGAGAGCCAAACTGCCATGAGCTGCCTGACAGCCACAGGAGCCACGGCTTCAGGTTTCCTCATCTGGAAAAGCCACTGTAACAGACCACAACCGAGGGGGGGGTGGGGGGGTGGGGGAGGGGATTGTGCACATATACTATCTTGTCAGACTGTGAGAGGTGTCCCTACGTGCGCATGCCAGCACAGTCCTTCCTGTTAAAAAAAACCACAGTGATTTTATACAAATGAGCTCACTCCAGAAACTCAAGGCTGTCTCGGTTTGACTCTTCCTCCGCTGCGTTTTATTTCTTACTTTGAAAAAACACATGCTAATTGTGACATGGTATCTCCCTTAACCACAGCTGGGAACTATGCAGGAGAGTGAGAGATTGATTTCTCAGGCTTTTCCAGAAGAAAAAAAAAAACTGATTGATTTGCCTCTGGTGAATTAGAGTTACGTATTGCACGACTGTAAGACCAGAGCATTGTGGGCTCAACCCGATCTGGACCCACAAGCCCAGGTTTACTGCTGCAGGACTCTGAAGCCTACATGAGATCATGCCAGGCTTCAGGCCGCTCACTATACTTTCACTTTCTCCGTCTTTCTCCAAAGTTTCTTCCAGTTCATTTCCTTCTTTGTCCATCTGTAATGCTTTAACACCAGCACAGACAGCCTTAAGACATTAATCACTGTCCATGATTAGTCAGTTTTTCTGTGTCACAAATAGTCTGTTCCTCAGAAAGTCAAAGCTCTGCAGTGATGGAAGAACTATTCAGATCATTCACTTGAAGCAGTTCTAATACATTTTTTTTTTTTTTTACATTTTAGCAATGGATCAAGTGACTTTGTTGTAGTTTGTTTTGATTTTCCAGCCCAAAACTCACTGCTCCTCTCAGTGTCTTTTGTTAGCGTCTTTTAATACACTATAAAACAGCAGACAGACGAAGTTACTGACTGGGCTGGTGAATTTAATGGAGCATTTAGCAGCTATAAAAAAGATTTCCCCCAGCAGCTGGTGGAGACCAAAAACAGAGTTAAAAGGAGAGTGAATACTGAGACTTAAATTGACCAGGGGAACATGAACATGCAGATTCAAGCTTGATGTGATGATCTTGTTAGCAAGCAGTTGCTTATTTTACACACTCGGCACATATGGAGCAACATTAGCATTAAATCCAACCCACCTTTTTAGCTCTGTTTTTGGTCGCTACCCGCTCCTGAGAAGTGTTCCACCAGCTAGTTGCTAATAGCTAGTCAGCTGTTTGGTTTTCACAGCTTTAATGTCAGCTGTAAATACCAGAACAATAAAATGATAAAATAGATGCTAGTAGACTCCATAGGGAGGAGGACTGACACTCGTCACCACTACGAATCTCCCCTTTCACATTACACATAGTCATTAGATCCATTGCTACTGTAAAGATACCAATTATAGCAGTTTTAATCTAAAGAACAACAGTTTCATCAGTAAAAAACTCAGATGTGAAATGTGAAAGTATTATTCAAGCAGAATGGCCAATTGTTATTACTATGCATTATATTACTGTATCATTATACATGTTTAACATATAAGCAGCATTTTATGGTTTAATGTAAAACAGTCAATTAGATTCAACATATATATAGATTTAAAATGTTATTCTGCAAAGTAACTGCAGCTGTCATAATTGAGGTGCAGTAAAAGAGGCACAGTATTTGCCTCTGAAATGAAAGTAGACGTACGACGAATGGTAAACATTCCTGAAAACTGTGCACTCTTTGAATGAATATACTTTTCCACCATGTTTTATCTGTTCTAAATCTGACCAGATTTGCATCTACAACAACAGTTTTGTTGACGAGGCACCTTATTTGTTCTTTAATCTGCAGCCAGACAAGAGACTTCCTCATTATTGACCTCATCGAAGATTTGTGATCAGCCTTCCCGGGTAAAAACGAGCACATGTGAGCAGATTGATTACATGATTAGGAGGCAGATACTCATGCAACTTTCTCATCTTTTGTTCGACCCCTGGCCGCCACAGCGTGAACTCACTTGACAGCAGCGAACGTGATAAGTTTTCACAATGACGATGGAGCTGAACTGCAGCCAGGACTGCACAGCTGATGTATATGCACACTGCGACCGAGGCTGTAGCCTCTTTGTCATGGGTGACACCCTAAACCCGCGGAAACACCACTGGGCCTGTACACGACATCCAGGTCTGGTTTCACAAGAGTAATTGTAACATTCAGGTCTGACCTTAGCCCCAGTTTCTCATTCTCGGCCTTTGTTTCTCTCCACCCTCTTAACAAGTTTTAACAAGCGGGGGGTTCTTGACCCTTTGAACTGTGCAGCCAGATACTCATTGTTTGTGACAACAGCCTGGAGGGAGGTCTGCGAGTCACGATGATCACTGTGTTTCTGACTGATGTTGCATCTGGTGTGTTTTGTGCCTTCCTGCTTTAAAAAATGTATGGTGAGGGAAAAAAAAACAAGGCACTGAAGCTCCACATCACCAGTCAAAATCTGCTTGTTGCATTTATAAATCTTTACGGCACTTCAGAGTGAACCGTCACATTTTCTTTTAAAGTTGCAAACACTTTAGATGGTGATAAATTATGCATGACATTAAGCAAGCTCGCCCCGTGTGTCCATCGCCTGCGAGCTTCAGCCTTGTAATCTGTTTGTGATGCAGCCGTTTGGAAAGTTGTTTTTGAAGTTGGTGGGTACTGAAAAGAGACGCGAGGAGGAGCCACAAAACATCAGACAGGTACACGATCTCCTCAGTTAAACCTAACCCCTCCTGCAAATGTACTTAGCAGCTGTTTCTGTGGAAGTCACTGGAGAGAAACTCCATGGAAAAAGAAGTCGAGCCAGCTGGGTGGAGAGGAGTGGGAGGATTTTTTCCACTTCTGTCTGTCTGATGGAGACGTGCTGATTTTTCTCAGTGAGCTATTCATCTTGAAGTGTGCAGACTATCACATGCAGTGGAGAGCTGCAGCGTTTTATAGATGAAATGTTTTCGGGGTTTTTTTGGGGTTTTTTTTTAAAAGCAGGAATCTAGTAATAGACTTGTAAATTTATTGTTTCCGTTTTGGAGCAAAACAAGTCTGGAAGCTTTCAACTACACATTGATAATGTGTCTTATTCAATAGAAAGTGTGCGTCCACACCAGAGAGCACTTTCCACACTTTCTTTACGATGCCTCAGGGGGGGAAAAAAAATGTCCTAAAGGTTAGCAGTGTGTAGGGAATGGCCACACACTACAGCTGATCCCTGCTGCACACCTGCATGGATCTGGTCCATTGCTGTCAGTCCCAAACAACCGGATAATGCTGACACAAACATAAGTATCTTTTGTCTGTGAATTCTGAATGGCATCCATCTGTGGCTGTCATTTATGCTCATGAAAAATCCTGCCAACATCCTCAATAAAACAGTCATTTAGATTTATTTATGTGGGAAGGAGTGATGTGGATTTAAAGAGAACATTCAACAAGCTAAGACGGGTTTATAACACGTAATGAAGAGAAGAAAAAAATGAATGTTACATCTGATAAAGTTGCTGGGATGTGAACCAGATCTGCTCGTGTTGTACAGTGTTTGTTTGTTTACCAGAGCAGCAACGTGTCAGGACAAAGATGCACTGTTGGGTGGAAACGGCTTATTTCCTGTCAGACCAGCAAAAAAAAAAAAACTACAGTTACAATAAAAATAACATTTCATCCATGTCTTCTTTGTCATTTCAGAGCGTTATTACTGGGACTCCAAACTGCGCATTCCCACCGCTGACTACCAGGAAGTCCTCCACGATGATAAGGCAGCACTGGCCTGGCTCTTGGCCCTGCGTCGTGTTGGCATCGTCTACCTGAGGGGGGCCCCGGCAGAGCAGGGCCAAGTGGCCAGACTCGCTGAGAGGATCGGCTATCTCAGGCTGACATTCTACGGGTAAGACTGCATGACGTTCATCCATTTATCTCCAGTCATCCTCAGCCAAGCCACTGTTTAATAACCTGGCTCCCCACTAAATCTTGAGCTGTTTGAATTTTCCACTGATCATACTTTAGCTGGAGCAGAGCCCGGGGAGTGTTATTAGTACAAATTAAATACAAAAGATCTTTATTTACATCTCTTTTCCAAATTTTTTGGATGAAAGATTCTCACTTTACAACATTAATGTTTAGGAAAATGTGTCCACCAGTCAGTTATCTGTACCTTTGATTCATTTGACTCCTTGGAGAAGCTTAGACAGTGTCTGTTGGCCCTTTCATCACACCAGAGTTCATCACTTTGACTTATTGCAGTGCTGATTACTTGAGGATAGAGACGGGGAAAACAACCTAAAAGCATTCCAGCTTTTTTTAAGCTAGAGGAATTACCTGGTGCACTCAGTCAGAACAGAGGTTTGGAGCGTAAAGGTTTTCCACTGCCAGGGGATGAGCTCATACTTGTGGAAGTAAAGAGACTGCAGACTGAAAGTGAAGACCTGCCATCAGAGAAACTCGACTGTTTTACGAGTCGGGCATCCAAACGAGGCATGCAAACAGAACATGGAAGATAACTTTACCTCATTAGTGCTCGACTCCTGCTGCATCTCAATGAAGTATCTTACTTCAGAGGCAACAGCCTAAGCATTCCTGTGAAGCTTCGCAGTTTCCCCTCAGGGATCCCTGCGAAGTTCATCTCATCTCATCCTTTTCTCTACACAGCCTAATTGTCACTGCTGATCTTCTAAAGCCAAAGTTAAATAATTAACATGGAGTCCATTAATTAATGTATTATCTTTGTCCTCAGGCACACGTGGCAGGTCCAGGACAAATACATGGCAAACAATGTGGCCTACACTTCAGGAAGGCTTAGTCACCACACAGACTACCCTGCACTTCACTTTGCACCTGGAGTGAGTAAAATCTGCCTTTTCTGAGGGTTAAACTGCACTAAACAGATATGGTAATCACGTATGAATTTATATGCTGCTGTTAAACGTTTGTTTAGACTGCTGGCGTGTTGTTAGAGTTGTAAAACGAGCATTTGTGCAGCATGTGTGTGTCTGTTTTTAGGTGCAGTTTCTGCACTGCATCAACCAGGCAGTGGAAGGAGGGGAGAGCGAGGTGGTGGACGGCTTCCACATGGCCGAGCAGCTGCAGAGAGAAGACCCAGAGGCCTTCAGGACACTCACCTCGCTCCATGTGGACTTCACCGACACGGGGACGGACTACTGCGATTTCATGCTGCAGTCCAAGAAATGCATCATAGAGTGAGTGGAGATGACCCGTCACATCACATCAGTTTCTTTTTTTAATTCTCAAAAGTACAACAAAGTTTCAGAACTTGCAAAAATTAAAATGACCAGCATTAAAAATGAAAGATGCAGTGGTATATCTCAGCAGTGTGAGGTTATGTGATTATTTGAAATAGGACGCTGCCATCTGCTGTTCAGGATGATTATGTGCACAGATACTCTCCAAAGTCATGTGGAAAACCCTCACAGAGGAGTGTCATGGCTGCATGATAATATTCGTCGTGTTGTTCTGAGATGTTTAACAACCACATTTGGGTCTAATCGGTAGAAACGATGGTATTTAATCAATATGTCTGATTAATAAATGAGGACTTTCAAATCATTTCTGGGTCAAATGACTGGATCCAATTAATGTTTTCATAATTGATGAATCTAGTAATTATTTTCTTGATGAATCAATGAATAATAACATTTCAGAAAATAGAATTTGCCAGGGCCCAAGGTGTGACGTCTTTAAATTGCTTGTTTTGTCTGACCAACAGTTCAATACTTAAAGATATTTAATGCAAGAAAGAAGAAAAAAGCAGAAGCATCACATTGGAGATGCTGGAACTAGAGAAAAAAGATGTAACAATTAGTTTACAGTATGATTAGTGGATCAACAGAAAAAAATCTGCAAAAATTGTAATAATTAATCACTTAAATTACATTTTTGTGTGTATACATCCATATATAGTCAATTAATCTTTTGTTAACAGTTTAATCAATTAATCATTGTTTCAATTGTAAAACTTCCCTCGTGTCTCTGAGCAGCGTTGATGCCGAGGGGCGACTTGCGAGGATAAACTACAACAATGCCACGAGAGATTCGGTGCTGGACCTCCCCTTACACCAGGTTCAGCCCTTCTACAGAGCGCTGAAGGCCTTCGTGAACATCATGAACCGACCAGAGAACGTGGTCACCTACAGAATGGAGCCAGGTCAGTGTTCACCTCTCTAAACTAAAACTGATTTACGCAGGTCCTACTTTTTGTAGGATCATTGAAGTGTCTAAGAAAAGTTGGACCATATTCCAGAGGGTCTCAAACTGTCAAACCAGACAGACACTGTATGGATTCAATCACAAATTTATGCCTGATCGTTGACATGCAGTTGAATAAAGGGGCTGTCACAGCGATCAATGATCTAACTCCTGGACGATCGGATGTATTTCTAGATTTCTGGCATGTCCAAAATGTAATTCGGCTCTGCAGCACCTGATGGCTGCAGTTCGTGTCAAAAATCTGAGTTATAACACAGTGAAATCTGAAAATATTGACATGATAGACATATTTTTAGATTCAGTGAGACTTTCACTTTCCAGGGATATCATTATCTCTGTTGTCCATCTTGAACATCCATAAATAATCCATAAGTATCTTTTCTATGATGAAGTTTTCTTCAGTCTCAGAGTAATTTATTGATACTTGTCAATACATCCAATGGTACATAGTAAACAGGAAGTGATGGTGAATTCCTGTACTAAATTAAAAAAAAAATTAAAAAAAAGTAAACATGCTAAGTGAAGTCACTGAATCCAAAGCAACATTCTCCGACAGGGACACTTTCAGCAGTCGTGTGTGTGTGTGTGTGTGTGTGTGTGTGTGTGTATGTATGTAATGGTATGTGTGTATGTAATGGTATGTATTAGTGATCGAGCCGATTAATTGGGTTGGTTAATGGCATTTTTTCATAATCTGCATTGGCCAATTAAAATGCTCACGAGGCCGATTAAACAAAAAATTTATGCAGACGCTATAGACAGACATCTGTTCCCAGCGAGTAAGTATTCAGTGAGATTCGGACCATTTATGAGAAGAAAAGTAACAGGCTCAGTGGTGAAAATGCTGAGAAACTTTGTTTCCTGCATTACAATTTGGGACTATAAACTGGGATTACTGAGTAACTTTGTTTAACTGAGACAAAGAGAAAACAAAGAGATGCTGCTATTCTGCATAATACTAATATTGATTATTTTATTTAATGATGTAGGTTTACAATTTTTTGTTCTCAAGTGCACGAAAACTTTATTTATTTTTCATTCATACGTTTACCTGTGAACTTTTAAGTTAACATTTTTTAATTTAAAATAAGTGCACTGCGGACAGACTGCAGATCTATTTGTAGACAATGCAAACAACAGTGTTCAATAAATGTTCAGCAATTTTGTGTCTTATGTGTTATTGTTACTAAATTTTATCAGATTAAAAAAAAAAAAGATAGGCTTTATATATCGGCATCGGCCATTGAAAAACTCATATCGGTCGATCACTAGTATGTATGTATGTATGTATGTATGTATGTATGTATGTAATGGTATGTACATATACATTGTTCATGTCTTTGTAAAGCACTTTGTGCTACATTTCATGTATGAAAGGTGCTATAATTACATTTTTTCAAATTATTATGTATGTCTGTATGTATGTATGTGTCCAATGGAATGTATGTATGTATGTATGTATGTATGTAATGGTATGAATGTATGTATGTAATTGTTTGTATGTATGTATGTATGTAATATTGTATTTTTTCTACCTGGTTAGATCCAGCAATAAAATCGGACTGTTTCTCTGAGTTCAAGTCCTGGCCGATTTTATGCCTTACTATACTATGACATTTTTATGACTTTTTATACCTTACTATACTATGACTTTTCATGCCTTGCTATACTATGACGTTTTTATGCCTTACTATAATATGACTTTTTGTGACTTTTTATGCCTTACTATAATATGACGTTTTTATGCCTTATTATAATATGACTTTTTATGACTCTTTATATCTCACTATACTATGACTTTTCATGCCTTGCTATACTATGACATTTTCATGCCTTACTATAACATGACTTTTTTTGACTTTTTATGGCTTACTATACTATGATGTTTTTATGACTTTTTGTACCTTACTATACTATGACTTTTTTTTGCTTACTTTAATATGACTTTTTATGACTTTTTATACCTTACTATACTATGACTTTTTATGGCTTACTATACTATGACGTTTTTATGACTTTTTATAGAAAAAAAGACAGGACACCAAATTAAAACAACAAAAGACACATAAATCAGAACATAACAAAACCAGGTGTTTCCACGCTGAAAGCCTCTGGTCTTCTTATGCTGGGACCAAAGTTTTTAAAGCCTTCCTTCCAAGGCTAGGTGTATCTCATGAAGTAATCAGCCTGGGCTGAGCCACACGGGATACAGGACAGGGAAATGACATCAGGAGGGCACCCTGCCGTAACAGTATATATCAATATATATATGTATATATGTATGAATGTGTGTTGTGGTATGAAGGTATGTTTATATGTAATGCTATGCATGTATTAATATAAAATTGTATTTTTTCTGCCTGGTTAGATCCAGCAATAAAATTGGACTTGTAGCTGTTTCTTTGAGTTCAACTCCTGGTCGATTTACACATTCTTAATCTGACCGAAAGTATGAGTGGCTCCTTGAAGCTAAAGTAGTAATGATCTGTGGTTTAGTAAGGTTCCACACTTCTTTTGTCATTTGTATGTCAAATATATGTTATAAGTAACGTCATAGTATAGTATGGCATAAAACATCAAAAAAACATGATAGTTTATTAAGGCATGAAAAGTCATAAAAACATCATAGTATGGTAATGCATCAAATGAAATAGAATAATAAGCCTTAAAAATGTCAAAAAACGTCATAGTATAGTATGGCATAAAACTTCAAAAAAACATGATAGTATATTAAGGCATGAAAGGTCATAAAAACATCATAGTATGGTAATGCATCAAATGAAATAGTACAGAAAGGCATGAAAATGACAAAAAACGTCATAGTATAGTATGGCATGAAAATGTCAAAAAAACGTCATAGTATAGTATGGCATAAAACATCAAAAAAACATGATAGTTTATTAAGGCATGAAAAGTCATAAAAACATCATAGTATGGTAATGCATCAAATGAAATAGAATAATAAGCCTTAAAAATGTCAAAAAACGTCATAGTATAGTATGGCAT